AAATGCAATGTAAGCCTTCAGCATTGGTGTAGTTACAGTACTTTTTATGACATTTGTTTTTGTTTTTTAATTACAATTAACTTTTGTAAAGCAGTTTCAACTCTGAAGTGTTTCTTGGGGCCATGCTAAATGCAATATATCTATCTATCATCTATCTAGCTACAGTATCTATCTATCTATCTATCTATCTATCTATCTATCTATCTATCTATCTATCTATCTATCATCTATCATCTATCTATCTATCTATCTATCTATCTATCATCTATTTATCTACTATCTTCTTTCTATCTATCATATACTGTATCTATCTATCATATCTATCTACTATTATCTATCTTTTATCTATCTTCTATGTATCTATCTATTTATCTATCTATCTATCTATCTATCTATCTATCTATCTATCTATCTATCTATCTATCATCTTCCTATCTGCTATCATCTCTATCAACTCTATCTATATCTATCTATCTATCTATCTATCTATCTATCTATCTATCTATCTATCTATCTATCTATCTATCTTCTATATATCTATCTAACATTTAGGGTAAGAAAGGTATGAATTAGGTCACATTAAGACCATGGTGGAAATATTTGGGCTTCAGGTTGATTTTTGACTCTTTGCCCATTGTGACTGCATTCCAAAACTGGATCCTCTTGCCTCACATACCTACTATTTCAATGGAAGGAAAGTTTCCACATTCAAATGATGAAATGCAAGATGTCCTGTAGTTTAGGCTGGTCAATGTAATAACTCTATCATTTGACGGATGAAGAAGGTTGGTTGAGTTTTAGAGAAAGTAACCCAGCATATATTGGAACATGGTTAAGGTACTTGTATATTGTTCTTTTGATTGAGTAATATTATATGTGAAGTTGGCCACATGATGTCCTCCATGGGGTTTGGACTTCAGCTTCAATCAAGCCCAACCAGCATTATTAATGAGGAGAATTTGAGGAAACTGTAACCTAAACCATCTAGAGAACTTTGGGTTGTTTTTATAAAGCAGGGGAAATTAAAATTCTCATAGGAAGCAACGGAAGCATCTATTAAGATTCCTTCTTTTCATCCAAGATCTGCACAGAGAGGTATTCAGCAGGTTCTGGAGAACTGGTAGCAGAAATTTTGAGTTTGGAGAACTGGCAAATACCATCTCTGACTGGCCCTACCCCCATCTATTCTCTGCCTCCTGAGTCCCAGCTGATTGGCTGGGTCTTCTTTTGATGCCCTGCACAGGAGAATGGAGCTGGAAGGCAGGTTAGTGGGGTGGGAAGGGAATGGGATTTTGCAATAACTTTCCCCCACTAGTAGGGAGGAAATGGAGATTTAACAATATCCTTTCCCTGCCATGCCCACCAAGCCATGCCACACCCACCAAGCCATGCCACACCCTCCAAGCCATGCCCACAGAATCTGTAGTAAAAAAAATGTTGAATCCCACCAATGAACAGATCATGATCCCATGATAGTATTAGAATAAAATCTGACTAATTTCAGGGGAAGAAGTTAGTTATTGCAATCATTATGCTGATTGCTGAACTTTGAAACGACTGGCCTTTAATCAAGTGGCTGCATGAATTAATTGCTATGAAAAGTATCAAGGAGTTTCTTGGGGCCTTGCTGGGTATATATTCTTCCCTTGAAAGGTATAGTTTGTTTATCTGCTAACTTATATCGATGTATTATCGGTAGCACTGATAATCACTTCGACTTAATTTAATAGCTTTCTTTTCTTTAAAAAAAAGAAACCATCAAAGGAACATCTGCAGTTTACATATTCAAACCAGGAGGACTGCTGAAAAATATTATCCTGAAATAATCCTTTAAATCTGTTTGAAATCCCATGTAATTTCTTTTTAGGTTTTTCACTTATTCTCAATCACATGCTTTGCTAGCCTAAAGAATGTGCCCCTAACCAATTATTCTTTTGCATGTGTATATTGGGTTTCATCATGATTTCTGTACAGTGGTTTAATTAGAATGCAAAGCCAACAAGAAAAGGTGTAGGGACCATTCAGGCAAAGCAATTACTTTTGGATCCAACAGACGAGCAATTTCATAGAAGATGATCTGACCTCTCTAAGTCATTTTGCTTGTGAAGTGCATCCTTAATGCTGCATAATTGAAATGACATCTCATCGCCGCAGGATATTTTCAAGACTGAGAGTCTGTACGTAAGAATCAAAGCTGAAGGCAGGGGATTTGATAGATTTTTGTTTTGTATTGGTTTTTTTTAAGCCAAAACTCTTTATTCTGGGATTTCTAAAATGAGGTGCAAGCATTTTTTTATTTAGCAACTATCGCCATGCCATTTTCATAATAGAGTTCCATAGATTGGAATGCAACCCTGTCTGGAACAAGATGATCATTGAGTTGCATTTGCAGCTCAAGTTCACAACATGGTTTTGGTTGTCATGGAGGTGAAGGAATCATATTGTCATGCCCCCATCGGAATCTGATTCGGAGGAGGAAGCGTAACAACTGACAGGGAGTGGGAGTGTGGCTCCATTGGTTGTGGAAGAAACTGGGGACGGGCAAAGTCCGGCTGGGCAGAGCAGGGAAGAGGTAGAACAAGGGAGAGGGAATTCAGAGGAAGACCCAGGCCCACCCGCTCTTCATTCTAGGGCACGCAGGGAGGAACAGAGAAGAGAGCAACGTGGGTCGCATGGCTTACAGGGGAGGAAAGAGCCCTGATTCCCTTCATAAGCTGCAGGTGGGAACACAGTGTATATAAAAAAAGGCAAGTTGCATGCAGCAGGCTGTTGAGAGCAAACATGACTTTATCTTGTATCATTGTGGTTTATCTGTGTTCCTGGCATCTTCCCAACTGAGTGAGTTCTGCCGTGCTTTCAAGTCTGAAATTCCTGCTCCTGCCCTGCCAAACTAATTACTTCAGTTTGATTTGTTTGGATTTTAAGTTACAGTTTGTGTGTATCTTGTTTTGGACTGAATTTTCTACAGTCAAAGGCTGTTCCTGGGAGAGTTTTTCTTCAGCTGAAGGTAACTTGGACATTGGGGGCAAAGTTGGAGATAATAAAGGGACTCTAAGTGCTTATCTGACTGTGTTGCCTTTATGCCATGCCTCAGATCATCACACATATCTTGTAAGTGCTCCTGGCACCCACATTCCCACATCTTGGTGGGAAAAGATCTCATGCATAGGTGCCATTTAGAGCCTTTCCCAAATTGGGAAAAGTCTGGACTGGTTTCTGGAACAATTCATCCATCCCATACTCACTGCCCCAGTGGCGCAGAGGTTAGAAAGCAGTACAGCAGACTAACTCTGCCCACTGCCAGGAGTTCAATCCTGATGAGGCTCAAGGTTGACTCAGTCTTCCATCCTTCCAAGGTCAGCAAAAATGAGGACCCAGATTGTGCTAACATTATAAAACACTCAAAGAGCTCTATAAAGGGATATGGAATGGTACAGGTAGTCCTCATTTTACAACAGTTCGTTTAGTGACTGTTCAAAATTACAACAGCCCTGAAAAAAGTAATTTATGACCATTTTTCACAGTTATGACCTTTGCAGCATCCCCATGACCATGTGATCAAAATTCAGATGCTTGGCAACTTGGCTCATATTTATAACCATTGCTGTGTCTCAAGATCATACAATTCCATTTTGCGACCTTTGGACAAGCAAAATCAATGGGGAAGGCAGATTCACTTAATAACCGTGTCCCTAACAGAATAACTGTAGTGATATATTTAACAACCGTGGTGAGAGAAGTTGTAAATTGGGGCAAAACTCACTTAAGAACCGTCTTGCTTAACAACAACAAAAGTCGGGCTCAGTTGTGGGTTGTCAGTGAAGGACTACCTGTGCCATGAATGTAAAGATGAATTCTTGGTTTCTAATTTTTTTACGTGGCAGAGCAGGAGAGTCTAAATCGGGGCTGTCAAACTCGCAGCCCACGGCCCGGATGTGTCACATGCTGACCCCACCCCAGGGGTGAAATTCTATTTTTTTTTCCTTACCGGCTCTATGGGCGTGGCTTGGAAAAAATGGTAATAGCAACCGGGGGTGATTATTTTTACCGATTCAAATCATCCCTACCGCCTCTCCCAAGGTGGGCCGAGGCAGTTGAATTTCACCCCTACCCCACCTGGTTTAGCAAAGGGGGGAAAAGTCCTGATACGTCACGTGACGCTGCAGTGACACCATGAGTTTGACACCCCTGATCTAAAGGATTAGTTGATTTGCAAGTTTCTTTGCTTGAGGAGAAATGAGCCCTTTGTTCCTGAGCTCTGTCATTCACCACCTGGCCTGACATTTAAAAGTATTGTTTGATTTAAAGGCTGAGTGAACCAGAGGTGGTATTCAGCAGGTTCTGACCACTTCTGGAGAACCGGTAGTGGAAATTTTGAGTAGTTCAGAGAATCGGCAAATACCCCCTATGACTGGCCCCACCCCCATCTATTCTCTGCCTCCCGAGTCCCAGCTGATTGGTTGGGTCTTCTTTTGTTGCCCTGCACAGGAGAACGGAGCTGGAAAGCAGGTCAGTGGGGTGGGAGGGAAGGGGATTTTGCAGTAACCTTCCCCCAGGAGTGAGGAGGGAATGGAGATTTTACAGTATCCTTCCCTTGCCATGCCCACCAAGCCACGCCCACAGAACCAGTAGTAAAACTTTTTGAATCCCACCACTGGAGTGCACCATTGGCCAGAATGGGTTCTGGCATGATGTCATCTGCCCTGAAGCAAATCTTGACATTGGGCTGGTATCCTTTCTGATTATAACAGAATAACAAAGTTGGGAAGGATCTTGGAGGTCTTCTAGTCCAACCCCCCGTACCCTTTCAGACCAACGACTGTCGAATCTCTCCTTAGAAATCTCCAGCGACGGAGCGCCTGTGGCTTCTGAAAAGCAAGCTGTCCCCCTGATGAATTGTCCTGTCAGGAAATGTCTCCTTATTTCTAGGTTAGCTCTCTCCTGGATTGGTTTCCCATCCATTGCTTAAAGCCTCTGTTCTTTCTCTCCCCTTTCTGCAGTACGGCATTAAGAAGAAGGAGGAAAGAGAAGCAGAGGCCCAAGCTGCCCTGGAAGCAAATGCAGAAGGCAGCCTGACGCGTCCCAAGAAAGCCATCCCGCCGGGCTGTGGGGACGAGGACGAGGAGGAAGAGGAAAGCATCCTAGATACCGTTATTAAATACCTGCCAGGTCCACTCCAGGATATGTTTAAGAAGTAAACTGCGACAGACTGCCAGCCTGTCCATGGACAGTAAAGCAATGGATTTCTCATTGACCAATGGGGAATTTAGACTTAACCACCACCTCTCACGCCCCTCCCCTTCCCATGCTCTGCTCCAATCCCAGCCATTCCCTTGAGCCCCTCCCTCCCTTTCATTCCTGATTTTGTACACCCTCACTTCTAGACGATGCCTCCAAAGGGATGGAAAAGATTAATGAGCTGCAGTCTACACAACTGTTTATTCCTCTTATTATTATTCTAAAGCCATAGTTTTACATGTGTTTTTAAACAAAAGGACAGGTGTTTCCTTATACAGAGAAAGGGAGAGGGCCATCTTTGGTTTGCCTCTTCCGGAAAGAAGAACGCTTCAGCCAAAGCGAGCTACAAGTAGCTTTTCCCTGCCCAGGAAAAGTCTAACAAGGAATTAGGCTGTCCCCCATCACAGCGTAGGAGAGAGAAAGAGAGAGAGAGAGAGGGAGAGGAGAGAGGAAAGAGGAGAGAGAGAAGAGAGAGAGAGTGCAGAGTGAAGGTAGCCGTTTTTTAGTCTTGACAGTCTCTGAAAAAAAAAATATCCCTGTTTCAGTGCAAGTAGTCCTCGTTTAGTGACCGTTGACAATTATAAAGACGGCAAAAAAGTAGCTTTGCAATCAATCCTTGCATTTATGATCTTTGCAAGTTTGTAAAGCAAAAGAAAGCTGAAGGGAGATTGTAAGCACAGTTGCGAGTTCACTTAATGATTGCTTTGCTTAACCACAGAATTGCCCGTCCCAATTGCAATTGCTAATGAGGACTAGCTGTCATTGGTATGATGCCTATCAAAAAGTTTGTCTGTGTATGTTCCTTTCCTTTCCCTTCCTTTTCTTTTCTTATTCTCCTGCCACCTCGTGATTTTGTTTAGCCCTCATCACATACCTTAAGACATAAGAAACATATCCTTTTTATTTTGGTTTGTTTTACTCTGTCACTTCCTCTTACACACAATCCACATATTATGTTTTGATTCCTGACTGTCTGGGATCATTCATGTGATTTCTCAGTGATGCATATTTCCCAGTCTCCATTTAATCCCCGCACCCTCCTCCTCTTGTCACTGGGGTCCAAAACTATTGATCATTGTCCCAGTTGATTTATCTTTTCTAATCACTTTATGAGGTTAAGCTCAAAAAGCTTGAAGTAGAAGGAGAAGCTGGAACCAGATGGGAAGGGGAGAGAGAAGGCAAAACAACAGAGCATCTGGCAAGGGGGTGGTTGTAACTTCAACAAGAAAAAATGAATATTCTCCAAAATACAACTCCAAGAGAAATATTCATCTCCATCAAATCATCTTTTTAAACACAACATGGCTGACTATTCAGCTCTCTCTTTATCTTCTATATGAGAGAAATTAGTAGCTTATACACTAGTAGTAAAGTATACACATTTTGTGGAAGAGAGTAGTCAGAAATACATTTTACTCCAAGTGCACATGGGTTAGAGAGGCCCACCTGTGCTTTTTCAATAAGGATCAAAGCGCTCAAAGTCATTTTGGCCGCCCACTATTAGTGTGAGAATAGTGTGACAAAGACTTAATAGAAATCAATGCATTTCAAATCTAAATGCTGTTTTCACATCCTACAGCTTGTTTACCCCTTCTAGCATAACCCTAGGAGATGGGGGCATGAAGAGCCAGGTCCAACTCTGAAAGTGAGGAACGTCCCCAGTAAGGGATCCAACCAGTCAGTGTGAGGGAAGTAGCATTGGGCTGACCCCACTTCAAGCCCTGTACCTGGTCCTGGGTTGTGACATCAGACACACATCTAGTGGGAGGCCCCTTTTGTCATTTTGATGAAAACAGGAGTTGTGGCCACCTAAAAGGACAGTTACATATTCCCAGGGGAAATGAATTCGTCTGGTTTAAGATGTCACAGACAGGTGGTGTGTCTGAGTTTCTGCAGGTTCCAATATATATATATTGATATCAAATACAAAAACACCACAAAGCTAGGGTTAACAGATATCTGAACAGATGGAAGGTGAATGCTAACAAGTCAAAAGGAGGACAAATGGGAGGAAAGGAGGACAGATTAAAATTTATTTTCTTGACATCAACAAAAATCACTGCAAAATAAAAAGGACTTTCCCTTATGTGTATATAAAATCATCTTTCCCAGCATCAGAAATACTCTTTCTTCCAATCCAACCAGAAATGGGCTACAGCCCATTAGGAGACAAAAAATATTCAGCAATAACTGATTAAAGTCTTGTCAATTCCAGGCAGCAGCAGTAGCCCAGGAGGCATTTAATTAACCAAGGTCATAAAACTGTGCTTGTTGACTTGTTAGCATTTATTAGAGAAACTGTTCTTGGAAGAACAGGTAGTGATGCTCAAATACTTTGGCCATCTAATGAGAAGGGAGGACTCATTGGAAAGGACCCAGATGTTGAGAAAGATAAGGTAACAGCAGAGAATGAGATGGTTAGATAGGGTCATTGACGCAGTGAATATGAATTTGGGCAAATTCGGGAGACACTGGAGGACAGAGGGCCTGGCATGCTATGGTCCATGAGATCAAGAAAAGTCAAATAAAGCAACAATAAAGCTGCAGAGAAAGCCTGTTAGATATTCAAAAAGTCTGACAATATTTGATTTTAAGACTATCCCTGTTGGATGGAGGACATTGAACATAGACAAAAAGGAATTCATATTGTTCTTTTGTTGGACATCTGGTACCTCTGTGCAAGTTAACAGGCAGATAGAGTTATCCTGTTAAATTTCTCTCTCTCTTTTTTTTTTACAACAGTCAATCAGGGTGTTAGCTATTAAAGTGAGTTATGAGAGGCATAGGTCCTTAGAGGTTTTAAAAGCTTCTTCACTAAAGTTTGAACTAATCCTTTAAAAAATTCACAATTTAAAGCCTGGGATCAATTTGTAGGCCAATATTCCATGTCACTAATCACAGAGAAGCAAACATACAAGATAAATACATACTATTATTGTACAGGGACAACACATAAACTTCCATCCAAAGAGAAGCAAAGGGACTAAATGACAACAATGGTTCGTACTGATTCAGAGAGTCCAATTTGCATTGGCTTTTGTCAGTTATCTGCTACGTACTTAGTTTGCCCATAATAATAAAAAACCTTGTTTTATGTCTGATAGCCACTTACTGAAACTAAGCAGACTAAAGCCTGGTTCGAAATCAGGGAATGGCTATAGTTTAGTAGCTCAGCAATATTATATGTATTTTTTATTTTTTATTTTTTTACAATCCCAAATTCAGTTCCTGACCTTTCAATTAAGAACATCTGTCTATACTGTTTGGTGCTATCTCATGATCATCTAGATGTTTGTAGCCCAGATTTGGCAAAACTGCAGAAGATTGCTGTACATTGCTTCTGTTCTCTAGTGTCCTGGCATCAAGTCAAACTGTCAGCAATCCTTCCCACAATCAGAACTGGAACTACCAATATCAGCCCTTTGAAGTTGACCTGATCAAACGAAGCTGGAGTTTGAGTAGGACATTATCAACTGAAATAGACTCTTGGAATGTTTCTCAAGGTCCACAGCTTTAAGATGTGTGGACTTCAAATCCTAATATTCACCAGCAGCATGATGGCTGGAGAATTCTGGGAATTGAAGTCCATACGTCTTAAAGAGGCTGAGCCCAAGAACCACTTAGTTATCATAACGGTGTTTTACAATCCTGACTATGGTTTTTCCTTTCCTCCCTCTTATATTCCAGGAATCGGGGAGGACTCAGCCTAATCCTTTCCCTGTTTTTGCAGTGGTGGTTGTAATCATCTCTGAATAGTTTCCTCAAGGTTTTCTTGCTGTGTCCCTATACCTAGCCTACACCCAGTGGAAAAAGACAGTTAAGTTCACTTTAGAATGGGAATCAGAGCAGGGCCCATGATCTGCAGCATCATGTGATGGTGTCACTTTTTGTACGACATTATAGCCTATTTAGGGAAGGCAGATGTGGGAAATGATTATAATGTAGAAGAAAGGAATTTTACATTTTTTTTAAAAAAAAACTCTTTTCATATATGTTTCTTTTTAACCAAAAAGAAAACAAAAGTCAACATGTCTGGGAATTTCTTGGTGTCCCAAAGTGAAATATTTTGTCTGGGAGAGCATTCAAATAATTTCCTGCCCCCTGTTAGCCAAAGTAACATTATGAGGACCCAGATTGTTGGGGGCAATATGCTGTCCCTATAAACCACTTAGAGAGGGCTGTAAAACACTGTGAAGCACTATATAAGTCTAAGTGCTATTGCTACATTGCATAATGGGCTACGTATGGCAATAAACTTAGTGAACAATACAGCTTATTAATGGGTTTTAAAGAAAGCACGAATGCTCAAAACATCTTTTTAGTCTTCCTGATCTCTGTAATAAAGCTTAAACTGGGGAATAGTCCCAACAAGTTTTGTCAGGAAATAATATGCTTAAGTGGTGAGCTGTGAAGCCATATTGAAACTGTTTTGTTTTAAATTATAAAAATGTTCATTATTGAGATTACAAGGGCGAACACAGCATTCCCACGTGGGGAAGGGAAAGAGATCATTGTGCTGTTTTCTTTTAATGTGCAATCTTGGCAACCCCTATTGTGAAAAGCAAAGTCAGTTTCCAAGACAGGAATCATTTGAGCAGAATTCCCTTGACCCCAGTTTTTCCAAATCCTTCATATGTGTTGACATTACAGCTCATGGAATTCTGAACTAAGAATTAGTTGTTGTAGTCCCACTTAGTTGTAGTTCTATCACTACATTGGGATTGTACCAAGTTAGGCAAAGAAAAATGGGAGTTTTAAAACTTGTTTGTGTTCTGTTCAAAGTCTGACTTTGTGCACATGGTTCATTTTTGATTTCTTGTTAATTATTTGATTTCCATTTCTAACAAAAACAGTATTTTCCTCATGTGCCAGTGACTCGGTTGGGGAAATACATTTTCCATTTAGATATTTCCTCAGTCACTCACTAAAGAGGTTTTCTAACTTTTTTGAGCTGTGTTGC